CGATAGGGTTCTTCTTTAGTCCATAGGGAGTTGCTATGCAAAATTTCATTGCAAAAGCTCAAAGGGTTCTCGAAATATCGTGTGGAAACGAAAGCGTTACAGACAGACAGAAAGACGGACGGACGGACGGACGGACAAACCCAAATTAATATTCCCCACTTTTCAAGCGGGGGACAAAAACAAGACGGGTTGAAGTCATTACTCAGCTGTAGGGAATCTCATCAAAATAAGTGTACGAGGTAGAAGAAACGGGAATTGAAAAATAATGACGTTGTCGGACGTCATGAAACAAAGCGGCGACGGGTGATCATATAATGTCGTTTTTTATTTTATAATAATTGTGGGAAATAATGAAGGTATCAGGCTAAAATTTTCAACATATATACATTTTTTTTATTGATTTATGTCCCTTATAAATTTTGTAAGCTCAGACAACATACCTGTAGTACTAATTTTATAGCCTCAATCCACGAACTTTCTGATAACCCCTCGTAGTGTCTTCGAATTTGTATGCACCGTTGAAAAATCGTATATACCTATCACAAATCAATAAACCAAGTTTATTCTGATTACTTTTAAATGTTTGAACAATTATCTTGTCTCTGACGTCTTTTCAACCGCATTAAAACATTTTTTTTTTTTTATCAGACGCTGTCCCGTTCGAAAGGCTTTCGTCGCATTTTCTGTCAACTTTTGACACATATTTCTTAGGGTTTTTCCCGGGTTGCTTATTATTTTCAATGTATTTACAGTAACCGATACTTAAAATATCAAAATACGATTATAGCCTCTTTATTTGTGTTACATATAATTTTTTTTAAGCTTTGACTTGTTTTATAAAAAAAATAATCATTTTAATCCAAACACTTCATCACAAATTTTATGGCATTTTAACCTTGGTGCGTGCGCACTATCTGCGACATGTCAAGATCCCGATTTTTTACATGAAAAGTTACATATACATCAATAAAAATGACATCTATCTGACTTGGTATTTCATAAGAAATATTTCCATATACAAACGGTATATATACTTGTCAAAATTTCTAAGTCCCACTTTTATTTTTTTCAAAAAGTTAAAAACCTTAACATCAATTTACTAGTTGCTTATAAATTTGCCTTTAATTTGCAATTCTTACCGGTCAAGACTAAAAAAATTGTAATGGAATGTGAAATTATCCGACCGTAACCGTTTTTGTTAAAAAGTAGGAAGTTCGAGTTCCATATGTTTTTCGGGTATACCGGTATTCTTCATATTTTTTACTTTCGTGTTCTCCATCTTTAACTGGTGACGAAATACAAAAAAAAAGTTTAATTAATATTCGGTGTATGTCCACACAACAATGTGCAAGTGAATTTCAAATGGCCCAAGCTAGTCGTAGTTAACGAAAGTTCAGTTTCCTTTCACTGTGTGACTTAATTTTACTAAAGCCTTTACAATTACCACCCGAAAAAACCTACAAAGCATACCTGAATTCTTTTAAATCAAAAGAAATCGCTAGATTTTCAACAAACACAACAAAATCATCCTAGAGTTTATCCGGAAAAATCAATGGAATCAGAACCGGTAGTGCCCCCCCCCCTTCAATGTCAAACTGAAGGAGTAGGGAGTACATGTAAGAAGACATTATGTAACTATTGTCGACAAGTTCCCTTGTAATCCTAATCTCAACCATAATTGCATGTATTGAAGAAGATAGACCGAAGTCTGAGAGAGTTTTTCCAGCAGCAGAATCTAGCGGAACTAGAAAACGACTTAGTTAGCTCCACATGAAAAAAATTCAATAAAAGAATTTTTCTTAAGTAGTGTGAACTCTTTGAGGCACAGTTGTCTTGCTGTGAATTTCTTTGAATGGAGGATAATGCAGTATATAACGTTGTGAATTTTTAATTCTTGGGTGCCTTAACGTTTCTGCATATTGTGTTAAAGCGCTTCAATAAAATAAATTTATTGAGAAAAATTGTTTTTCTAATATTTTATCCTGTATACTTATTTATTTATACTGATAAAAAAAATCAATACAAGAGCGGTGTAAAGCAAAAACTTCCTGGGGACTTAGAAATTTTGACATATATATAGAACCATTTATTTTAACAAAAACGTCATTGTCTACGAACTTTTTGGACAACCCTCGTTTTTATCAAAATATCTTTGTGATATTCCATATGTACAAATTTAATTATCCTAAATCAGCTGTGAATAGACCATATGTTAGCTAAGGTCCCCGATTCCTCTTTTGCTTCCTTTTCATTGATTAATAAAGAACCAGAAGTCTCTGTCGAGACTGTAGCTCTACTGGTATGTACACTGTACTTAAAACAAAGGAAGTGAAAAGTAGCAGCTGGGACTTGAAACAGCAATACTCGTATATTTTTAGTAACCATGGCAACATCGTTCAAAGAAATTAAAAACGGATATACAGAATTACGTACATGTATCTAAGTGTAGTCTACTTGTGTGCCAAATTATATTGAAATCAGACCAAAACTGTAGGAGGCGTAGCATTTTGAAAGTATTTCATAGAAATTTCTATTTTTAGTAACCATGGCAACACCGTTCAAAAAATTAAAAAAAACGGATACACAGAATTATGTATCTACGAGGGGTGATAAAAAAGTTCGCGAACAAATTGAATAACTTCCATCAAAGAAATAAAATTGTGTTTCAGTGTTCATTATTTTTCAAAGCAGCCTTCTCTGATTTTAGTGCACATCTGCCACCGTTCCACCCCTGCGCGAATCACGTGGTCTAGGCGTTCACGTGACATGCTCCGAAGTAGTCTGTTCAAAGGCGCTAGCATATTTTTCAGAGTCTTATATTTCTTACCATGCAAGTAAATTTTATAACAAGAACATTCCATTTGTCAGTTCATAAATGTCCGAATCTCCGATATAAGATGGTTGGACAAGGATATGCTTTGCCAGAAAGAGCACTGGGGCCATCACAACCCGAGTCAACTGTCTTAGGAATGTTGTTTATCCGATATGGATATATAACATGGGGGTGTTCTTTTCATCATATTTAATATATTGAAAGTCTAAAGTAAACAATATTTTAAGGATTTAATTATTATATACATAATTGCTAAGATATTCAACTATTTTTTAGCTGAAACTTCGCGATCTTTCATTACAAACTGCACAACAGCAGAGAGATATCTTCCCCAGCTTGCCTTCGCTGGGCAACTAAACAAAAGGCATTTTGAACCACCCACACTCTTCACTAAAACAGTCAATCCAATTCATTATTGAACGTCTACAAAGTATATTGTCTTCATAAACCTTATACAAATTATTATAAATTAATTCAAATGAATTTCAAAGTTATACGCTTAACTTTACAGCCGTTCTTTCCCAGAGTAAAATTGGGGCAACCATTTTTAGCTCACCTGAGCCAAAGGCTCAGGTGAGCTTTTCTTATCACATTTTGTCCGTCATCCGTCCGTCTGTCTGTAAACTTCACATTTTCGACTTCTTCTCAAGAACCACAGGGCCAATTCTGATAAAACTTGGTACAAAGCATCCTTGGGTAAAGGGAAATTTAAATCGTTAAAACGAAGGGCCAGGCCCCCTCACAAGGGGAGATAATCAAGAAAAAACAAAAATAGGATGGGGTCATTAAAAAATCTTCTTCTCAAGAACCACTGAGCCAGAAAAGCTGAAACCTATGTGGAAGCATCCTGGGGTAGTGTAGATTCTAATTCTTCAAATCATGACTCCCCGGGGGTAGGGCGGGGTCACAATGGGGAATCAAAGTTTTACATAGAAATATATAGGAAAAATTTTTGAAAATCGTCTTCTCAAGAACCACTGGGCCAGAAAAGCTGAAACTTATGTGGAAGCATCCAGGGGTAGAGTAGATTCTAAATTGTTCAAATCATGACCCCCCCGGGTGTTGGGCGAGGCCACAATGGGGAATCAATGTTTTACATAGAAATATATATAGGAAAAATATTTTAAAATCTTCTTCTCAAGAACCAATGGGTAAGAAAAGCTGAAACTTATGTGAAAGCCGCCGTGGGTGGTGTAGATTCTAAATTGTTCAAATCATTACCCCCGGGGATAGGGCGGGGCCACAATGGGGAATCAAAATCTTACACTGAAATATATTGGAAAAATCTTCTCAAAAACAACTGGGCCAGAAAAGCTGAAACTTATGTGGAAGCCTCCTGGGGTAGTGTAGATTTTAAATTGTCTAAATTATGATCAGTGGGATAAGGTGGGGTCACAATATGTATTACAAGGGGGAAATCTGGTAAAGAACGGAATGGTCAAAGCTTCTCAGGTAAGCGATGTGGCCCATGGGCCTCTTGTTCGTCATGTGTTACCTACATTGACGCCATTTTTACAATGTGAGGTCTCAATGATGGAGAAAATAATTACTTTTCATATGCTAATTATACAGAACATGTGCATGACTATAAGTGTGCCCAATTTCATTCTGATCAGTTCTATATTTTTTATCACCCCTCGTACATTGTATTGTACGTACACTTATAGTCTACTTGTGTGCCAAGTTATATTGAAATCAGACCAAAACTGTAGGAGGAGTAGCATTTTAAAATATTGTTAACAGACAGACGGACAAATAGACGGACGCATTACTATCGAATAATCTCGTCTTTTTTCTGACCAGTAGAGCTAAAAATTAACAAACACAATATTTTTCAGCTTTTCAATACGTGTCCTATAATCTTCATACGGAATGAAAAGCTCAGAAAACAAATCAAGAACATACAAACAAGGAACAAATTAAACATCTACAGCAAAACTCATTTGGTACGAACATGGATTTAGCAAATTTACGGATATAGCGTAGTCAATTGGGATCCCATCTATATAAATTAATTAATTTCTTTAAAGTTATTATGAATTACAGATATAGCGAAGAATTTCACAGGTCCCAGTGACTTCGTTATAACCGAGTTTTGCTGTATAAACATTGAAAATGTTTTATTGTTATACAGTTGGATTAAAAACAAAAGATTCGCCATATTTACCGTAACATTTCCGAATTGTATTGCTTCCGACAGGTGAGATATGTCCCTGAGGGCAAAGTTCACAATTTGTCTGACCAACAAATTTTTGAAAGTACCCTGGTCCACACATCTGACATCCATCACCAATCTGGTAGGTACCCGATGGACAATAAACTGAAATAATATGTAGTACGAAAACATGAATAATAATTGAATTTTCCCATGAATTATTTTAATATGACTATGCATAAATAGGAAATAAGTTGACAATAGAAGCAGTTGATGATTAAATCGTATTTTAAACCCCTAGATTTGAAAATCTTACGGATTTCCTATTTTCAGCATGTTTCCCCGTGTAGCTTATTAAATTTTTTTTTAATGAAATCAGGTAATTTTGAAATTTTAATAAAATATAAATGTGTATCCTTGCAAACTGATAAAACTGGAACATTTTGATTTGCATTTTCCCCCATTCAAATGTAAAATCATGTCGCATTTGTTATTTATTTCTTTGCTGAAGAATGTTATTACCGTCTTCCTTGGAAGACGGTATTGTATAGTTGAAGTTTTTTACAGTCTTCGGACTATGCACTTCCTCCACTCTTAAAAAAGTTTTACTTAGTAGTCATTTTTTACTTGAAATAACAAAGATAAGTAATAGATAATTACTAAGCATTTACTTAAAATTTAAAATCAATTACTGAAATATATGTCAATTATTAGATTCAAATGTTTTACTTGATTTTTGTATTTTAAAGAATTGTTTTACTTACACACTAAAAAGTTTTACTTAGTAATTTATATTTACTTAAATTTGTGTATATAAGTAATAACATTACTTGGTCTTTACTTACATTTTACCACTACTTCAGTATTTACTATATAATTAATATTTTAATGCCCCCGTAAACGAAGTTTTGGGGGTATATAGTTTTTGTCGTGTCCGTCTGTCTGTCTAGCTGTCTATCACAGGGGCCTGTAACATACTGTATTTGATTTTACGTAATCACCATATGTATACAAAAAGAGATCTTTCTTTGTATATATATAGTGATTACGTAAAATCAAAAACAGTATGTTACCGGCCCCTGTGCTGTCTATCTAGCTATCTCTCTGTTTGTCTGTTTATCCGCAGAAACTTTAACCTTGCCCATAACTTTGATTTAGCGGAGCTATGACTTTCATATTTCACACGTGTATTCCTTGTGACAAGACGTTTCTTTGAGTATCACCAAATTTGACCTTGAAGTTTGACTCACTTATACACAAAAAATCCAAACTTATTCTTTATCCAAATCTTTTGAACAGTAAATACCAGGACATTTATACTTCACATATATATTTTTTGTTGAAAGAACTTTCATTGAATACCAACAACTATGAAATTTTGACCTTGACCCTGGAGATTTCCATCCTTGTGAAAAAAACTTTAACCTTGGCCATAACTTTTGAACGGTAAGGAATAGGGCTTTCATACTTACATATATGTAATCATTTTGAGAAGACCATTCATAGGATACCAAGAACTTTGACCCTTTGACCTTGGAGTTTGACCCACTTTTAAAAAGCAAACCTTGACTGTAACTTTAAAAGGATTAGGGTTAGTGCATTCATACTTTAAATAGTTCATCCTTGTGACAAGACCTTTCTTTGGGTACCACCAAATCTGTCCCTTTGTCCACGACCTTGGAGTTTGACCTACATTTCTAAATTGGTAAACTTGACCATAACTTCTGAAGGGTTAAGGCAAGTGTTTCCATATTTCACATATGCATTTTTTGTGGCAAGACCTTTCATTAGATACCAATAACCTTGACCTTTTGACCTTGGAGATATCAAGAAATCCCAATAATTTAAATTTGCATATAAGAAAAGTTTAACCTCTGCTATGTTGCCATACAGGAGCATAGGTGTTTCACAAACACATCTTGTTTGAATTGTATTTAATTGATTTACTTAAAACAAAAAATTATTTACTAAATCAAGCAGAATTCAGATCAGTAATTACTTAAATATGATAGTCTAATCACTAATTGTCTGTGAGGATGAGTTATCTTTCTTCTAAATATACCTTCATGTGAAAAAAAAGTCACACTAATAAAAATGCTATATTAAGTACTTGAAATGTTTAACCATTTTTAAAATGGTCCTTAAAAAGATACAACTTATTCAATTTTTAAGGCTTTCGAAGTTGGAATCAAATGTTTTATTGTTATATATAATAAAACAATTACAAAGAAATTGGCAAAAGAAATAGAAAGTATAATTGTTTCCATCATAAGTAGATTTCTTCTATTAAACTATTCAGAGGGCCCAATTAGGGAACTCTGATAAAGAAATCTGTGAGTAGTACTCACATGTCAGAGGGTCGGTACCTTGCAGTGTTTCTTGTAAATAATGGCGATTTTAGTAAATATGATAAGTATTTCATTTACTTAGTATTCTTTTGAGTAATAATAATCTAGATTTTAATTAATTGCAGAATTACATTTACTTAGTAATAATTCATAAAATTTAGTAAATAGAAAGCATATTATCTCTAAATGAAGTAATAATTATTTAACAAAAATGAGTAGTTCATTTACTAACTTAAAGTAATACAATTCCTATAATTTAAGTAATTCTATTGATACTTAGTAAATCATTTTATAAGTAAATGAATTCATCCTTATTACTAATTATGTTTACAATTACTAATCATGATAGTCATTTACTTGCTATTCTGACTAAATGGATTACTAATAATTACAAGTTTTTCTTAATCTAATATCTTATTTAAAAACAACAAGTAAAACTTTTTTTAGAGTGTCTCTTTTGTGATTGGTAGAAAATGCATGATGAGAAAATTTTCAATTATTTCATTGGTTGAAATGCTGTTCAAGGCAAGGGAGATAACTTTCTGATGATCTAATTTTCGTACGACTTAACAATTTTGCAAGATTTTCAATCTTTAAAAAAAATGACAAAACGAACAACAAAATCAGCAGTGATTAATTCCTAATAACATGATTTTTTGTATAGCAAAAAATAAAAAGATCTCTTTAACTTCATTATAAATAAAATTTGATTTTTATTGCTTACAGGCTTTACAATTTGTTATTATTCTTTTCCCCTTTCTTGTTTGAAGAAGGAAATGGAATCAGCCGAGGTTTGTCGAAAGCTCTCGGCGAGTCAAAGTTTACGGAGATGACCGAGCGACAACCGTGGTAGGGCTAATGCCAGTAAAAAGCTAATGTAGAAATACAAAATCAAGAAATTCAAAAGAATTATACGGCCTGATAGGTGTAGATCAGTTTACAGTTTAAGATTGTTGCTAAAGGCGGGAAGCTTTTTTAAAAAGCTCTACTTGGTGTAAAATATAATTGAATTTGATACAAAGCTTATTAGGACAAGGAGTCCGAATAGCCTCGTTAAAAAGACAACTGAAAACTATTTTGTCTTATTTATTATCAAAAATAGTAAATGCAGCTTGAATTCTTTGATTTTTTCTCCATTTACAATACATTTCATAGAACTTACAATAGGAGAGAATGAAACACAAGGAACTGATAGCTTCACTTACAAGATATACTTAACGAATATTTTATCACAGTTTTGCTACGATTGTTGTGAAGTGTATTAAATGTAATCGGAATTATCTATTTTTAGTCAGCAGTGACAACTTCATCAAAGTATCATTTTATTTGGTTACAAACAAGCCATTATTTTTTTTCATCAAAATATGTTCAGCCGACTTCAATGAAAAAATACAGATTTAAAGTATATTTGTACAATTGTTGAAATAGTCTGTTGTTATGTGTTTTTCATTATTTTAAATTCGCAATTGTTTCAAATATTTACAAAAAAAAATCTTACCACAACTACCGAAATAGTTGAAAGCTCCCTCCTCGCAGATGGTTTCAGCTGTTACAATTACAACGATTCCGGAAACTTCGACAATATCTGTAAATCAAAGGATTAATTGCGATGTTATATATGGAGAAAACGAACAGTATTCAAGTTCAAAAGTCCATTAAACAAAACAAAATTAATTGGAGCAAAGAAAACACAGACCTCGAAAACATCAGAGGTGGATCAGGTGCCATGGAGGAGTGAGCATCCCCTGCCGACCGGTCACACCTGCCGTGTGTTCTTTGTCGTGATCGGAAAATAACGGAAAATCCGTCGTCAATTCAGTGTGTAAATAATGACCTAATAATTTGTATGAAAATCGTCAGTCAGTATTTGCTGACAAGGTCATTGTTTCTACCACAGAAATTACGAAATGATGACTTAACACGAGATTGCTGATATTCTTGATTCATCAACTTGTTGGTCAATAATTTACCTCGTTTTAGAAATTGTACGTACGTAGACCATGTTCTTGCGAATCGATTCAAAGTTTATTCGGTATGCAAAGTATGAAGATTATTGCTGCATAAGTAAGGGAAGTTGACGATCGAATAGTTATAGAGCTTGGTATTTAAATTACCATTAACATCTTTTTTTTCAAGTAAAATGTCCAAATATGAAACAGATGTGACAGACTCTGTGGTATCTTTTATCTCAAGCTCACCAGGATGTACGAGGGTTGTTCAATAAATAATGTCCTGAACTGTACGACATACAATACATTAATTAAGCTTGACGTTTTTGAATAATTGAATCTTTAATGAATTTATAACAATTATTGTGACTACTTTTCATCGCATAGTTTCATTGTGAGAAACTGGAAAACAAGGGCTATTCGAGACACTGCATTGATAATGAATGGTAAAGAAGAAGTAAACTAGAGTAAAATTAAACGCTTCATTAAAGCTGCTGTAAAACTCGATCAGAACTCCAAAGAAATGTTCACTGAAATATGTAAAATTTACGGCAACCAATGTCTGTTTTATAGACAAATGAGCAGGTGGATTTCAATAATAAACAAGAGGCCCATGGGTCACATCGCTCACCTGAAAAGCTTTGACCATTCTGTTCTTTACTATTTTTCCCTTGTAATACATATTGTGACCCCACCCTAACCCAATGATAATAACTTAAACAATCTGAAATCTACACTACTATAGGATGCTTTGATTCAACTTTGTAAAACTTTCCCCATTGTGGCCCCGCCCTACACCAAGGGTCATGATTAGAATAATTTAGAATCTACGCTACCCCAGGATGCTTCCACATAACTTTCAGCTTTTCTGGCCCAGTGGTTCTTGAGAAGAAGACTTTCAAAGAATTTTCATATTTTATTACCAGTATGTAAAACTTTGATTCTCCATTGTGACCCCGCTCAACCCCCGGGGGTTATGATTTGAATAATTTAGAATCTACACTACCCCAGGATGTTTCCACATAGGTTTCAGCTTTTCTGGCCCAGTGGTTCTTGAGAAGAAGATTTTCAAAGATTTTTCCCATATATTTCTATGTAAAACTTTGATTCCCCATCGTGGCCCCGCCCTACCCCCGGGGGCCATGATTTTAACAATTTAGAATCTACACTACCCAAGGATGCTACCACATAACTTTCAGTTTTACTGGCCCAGTAGTTCTTGAGAAGAAGATTTTTAAAGATTTTTCCTATATATTTCTATGTAAAACTTTGATTCCCCATTGTGGCCCCGCCCTATCCCCGGGGGTCATGATTTTAACAATTTAGAATCTACACTACCCCAGGATGCTTCCACATAACTTTCAGCCTTTCTGGCCCAGTGGTTCTTGAGAAGAAGATTTTTTAATGACCCCACCCTATTTTTGTCGTTTCTTGATTATCTCCCTTTGTGAGGGGAGTTGGCCCTTCATTTTAACAATTTAAATTTCCCTTCACCGAAGGATGCTTTGTATCAAGTTTGGTCAAAACTGGCCCAGTGGTTCTTGAGAAGAAGTCGAAAATGTGAAAAGTTTACAGACGGACAGACGGACGGACAGACAGACGGGCGAACGGACGAACGACGGACAAAATGTGATCAGAAAAGCTCACTTGAGCTTTCGGCTCAGGTGAGCTAAAAATTATATAATGGGCAGCGAAAATTGGTTCCGATCTTGCTAATAAAAAATATAACAGCTAATGTACTGTATGCCAAATTTCAACAAATAATCACTGATGATGTATGACTGACTTTAAGACACATAGCAAATTTGATAGACATCATTTCGGGAGTAGTTCGTTATATTTACCTGGGCGTGACGTTCCAGGTGAATATAAGGATTTATTTTCTCTATATTGATCTATAAATAGATCGGGAAATTTTAAATTGATACAAATAGCTTTGGAACGCTATATTACACCTGCTACAGACTTTTACTCATGTAAATATATTATTAGACTAATGTATAAATTGTGGTTGGTGTTGTAACTGAGGTTGCCGGGACCTCCTCCCTTAGATACTTTTTCTTAACAAACATTTATACTTTTTTAAAAGCTCTCACTTCTCCCTGATAATCCTTCATCCTTTCAAACTCTTACATATAAAAGAGCCTGACAGTAATTCAAATTAACATGTCCGGTGAAGTTTAGGTACATTGTAACTCTGCTTCTTCTTTATAGTTGGTTAGGACTTCAACAAATTCAAATAAGAAATAAGTTGTATCATTTAATATTGGATCATATACTAAAACAGTTATTGCTGTTTTTCAGTCAATACGACAATTTAGCCATCTTCAAAGTACAATACTCATCTTGCCCTTCGGACTCGGTGAATATCGTAATCCTCAGGTGGCTAAATAATTGTATTGACCTCAAAAACAGCAATAATTGTATAATGTCGAGTTGAAGGCCACAGCAAATGACTTAATGAGTTCGAAAAGTTCGCAAATGATGTCAATCAATGTCAAAATTAAAATAAACACAATATACTAGGTAAAAATATTTGTTTTGTGGATTTTCAAAGTTAATTTCATTCTATTAGATTAATTAGAAATCAATTTACTTCATTTCAACCCGAGGAGCATACTCAACATACATGTTTTGTACCCGAGGAGCATACTCAACCGTATTAATTGTAACGTCGAAACATAGCGTCAAGAATTTCTTAAAAATACTACAGTGAGGTTGCCAATAACGAATCGCACCCGTTAACGAATCACTTTTAGATGAAAATTCTGTATTTTTCTTATCAAAGTCCAATACTTAGCTTAACTTACCCTGTCATGCTGAATTGTTCTTGCTTTTATCATTTATCATGAAATTATTAAATTCAACTCGTTCAATGTCCTAATTTTTAAATAAACATAACAAGCTTTTTTGTGACGCAGACCAGAAGCGTACTTTTCACTTTTCGGTACCGCTCCAATGTGAATCGTACATTCTAGGTAAACAACGAATCGCACCCGTTAACGAATCACTTTCAGATGAAAATTCTGTATTTTTCTTATCAAAGTCCAATACTTAGCTTAACTTACCCTGTCATGCTGAATTGTTCTTGCTTTTATCATTTATCATGAAATTATTAAATTCAACTCGTTCAATGTCCTAATTTTTAAATAAACATAACAAGCTTTTTTGTGACGCAGACCAGAAGCGTACTTTTCACTTTTCGGTACCGCTCCAATGTGAATCGTACATTCTAGGTAAACAAATTTGGTGCAGATGTTTAATAAAATTATGTGTCTAAAAGCACTGAAAGCGTCATACAATTTCTAAATCAGAAATAATAGTATTTGCATTAAAGTTGGGGGTATTTAGGTTTCCAATAACGAATCGCTGTTTCAAGAAATATGAGGAATCCTGCCCAAATTATAATAATTTTTCGTATGCGTTTTTTTTTTTTTTTGCACATCAGTTACAATGAAAAAACAACAGAAGATGTCTACCAAAAAGCATACAATAAAGGTGGTTAAAATACACATAATCAAAATCAGCAGCCAAAATCACTACGAACTGCTGAGCATGTGGAAACGAGAATGTCTCCCGGTGGTATATGTGCATGTAAGCTAATGTGAAGACATCAACGATCCATGATTACCACACAAAATTAAAATTTAGAAATTTTATTTATTTATCCCTTTGCAATTTAAACTTCCCTACTAAATCATTATTTCAAACAATACCTCGTTTGCAGTTTTCCTTTTCCCTAAAAAAATTATTTCAAATAATCAATTTTTATTTCTTGTCATGATCAAGCTCAAGCTCGTATAATATAAAATGCATGTTGCTAACAATACTTTTTCAATTCAACATCAAGCTAGATAAATTATAAACAGAGTTTTATGATACCCCCCCCCTTTTTCAACATATATACTAGTTAGTAAACATTTTATTTAAATTACACATTGAGAAAATGATATGCATACTGCAGCCTTTTGCCTATATGGAATATATGCCACCACTGCCGTAACGTAAAAGGAAGAAAGAGCACTATGAAAGCAGCAGAGGAGAATGAGCTGTCTTATTCATTTCTATAGAGACGATGGACAGTTGAAGTAGACCCATATAAAGTGAAACGACAACCTCCAGTATTTAATAAATCAAAATATTTAGTCTACTGTGGATGTTGGAATGGAGAAATCCAATAAATGAATCCCAACATCATCATTTGTAAAGTTGTCTCTGCTCATTGGAGGAAATTTAGGTGTTGGGTCTCGACATTTTGAAAATATAATTGTTCCTTTCAGCTATAGGTATCTCTGAAGCCAGGCTTGTAGGAAGCAATTTCAGTTGGTGGGGGAGGGGTACAGAGCCATATATTTTCAGTTGAGGAGGCACTATCACCCACCAAAATTCCTTGACAATTAATTAATCAAGCATAAAAAACGTCATCGGACGTTTTTTTTTTAGGGGGTACAATCATATATCTAGAGATATATTTTCTATCTAAATAGCGGCAAAATTATGGGGAGGGGGCGTGGTAGCTCAAATTCAATGAGTACAATTCTTGAATCAAAAATTAATTCTTCGGCTGTTTGCAGTTCATCATATAAAAGTTTTTACTTCCTCTTATATCAACTAGTCATTTGCTTTCCCTTTGATTTCATTGTTGTTGTTTTTGCATTAATTGTCGGATGCAAACAACTCAAAAAATTCCTAGCTTTTCTACTTTTTTTGAGGGGGGGGGGGGTGAAATATTTTAAGGCATAGTAAAACGTTACGTAAGAAGGGTATTTTTAAATTTACACGGTCCCGAACCAGAATAATCAGCTTTACGTCACGTGATTCGGTAATGGAGAAAATGATCCGCTAAAGGAGAAAACATCATTCATACAAGTACAGCGATAATTTTTTATTTAATCAGTGGTAATTTGGAAAATATATATGATGTTATAAGTAAAACATAGTACCACCAAACAATGTTGTAAAATGAATTTAACTCAAACTCAGGTACGAAATATCCAAGCAAATTTACTAAGTGATTCGATATCGGCAACCTCACTGTACCTCTAAACATTTCACACAGTATAATCCAATGCCCACTCACTGAATTCTTTTTCTAATTCTTGGCATTTTTAAAGGTTTTAATTTCTTTTATTATATAACTCAGCTTTCACAGGATAAGCAACTCTGAAGCGCCTATGTCTTTCCTTGGCGTTCCAAATTTTTAAAGTTTTTGTTCAGATTTTAACAGTTAAACCGTCTCTTCACAGATTGTCCTCATCCGATACAGAGTCCCTGTCACTCAGATACTGCCTGTACTATTTGTACAGACATGCACAACTCGCTCGTGACATTTTTTTTAGTCCTTCAATATTTTTAGAGTTTATACAGGATTTTTGCTGATTAAAACACAAAATTGAATCGTTATCTGCTATTCCGTGACGTTTTAAAACGTCATTGTTGTTGTCGTTTTCTATGAGTCCCGGGATCCAGGTTAGAATAGGTCCTCAGTACCCTCTTGCTTGTCGTAAAAGGCGACTAAATGGGGTGGTGCTTCGGATGAGACCGTATAAACCGAGGCCCCGTGTCACAGCAGGTGTGGCACGATAAAGATCCCTCCCTGCTCAAAGGCCGTAAGTGCCGAGCATAGGCCTAAATTTGCAGCCCTTGACCGGCAATGGTGACGTCTCCATATCAGTGAAATTTTCTGGAGAGGGACATTAAACAGTATACAATCAATCAATCAATCAATCGTTTTCTATGAGGACTATCTATCTTCTCAAGTTAATTTCTTTTCAACAAAGCAACATATTAAGTCTTATTTTGGAATACAAATCAATGTAATAATTCCTAACTTGAATTTCTAAGTTGTTTTTCGTTTTTGCTCCATTTTACAGAGAATATGACTACAGACGTTATTCTGTGTAATGTTTGTTACTCACTTGATTTTGATCTGCTCCACGATCCGAGTTTTGCATTTATAATCTTCATGTTTTTAAATAAATCTTGATATTTAAAAAAAGTTAATACAACTCATTTGGATTTACTGTTAGAAATTTCTACATATGACGTCAAATAAAAAAGATATTACTGAAGTCCACGGACATTTCGAACAACCCTCGTACCCTTCACGTACAGGTTTCTAGACAAACCTCGATAATTGTCAGTAGTATTTAACATTTATATATATTTTACTGGTACTTTTTCAGAAATATTTTACGATCAAGCTCTCTCTCTCTCTCTCTCTCTCTCTCTCTCTCTCTCTCGTAAAATTTATATAAGATATTGTTAAAATCTTACTTTGCTTTGTTGTATATGAGCTCTTTTTACGACCGCCTGGATGCGGAGTAATTGCCACAATTCTTAATTCCAATAGCTTTGCTTCCATTGCATAGTAACCGCGAACTAAATTAAATAGTGCACTGGAGACTACAATGTAAAATGAAGCGAAAGGGAAATAATATTATCAATTCTTGAAAGTAAAACATACCAAGCTTGTGGTTGTACATGGTAATTATGTTCCCCAAACGAAGTTGGGGAACATAGTGTTTTTACTCTGTTTCTTATTATTATTAGTTATTATTTTATTTTTCTTCCTGGGAAAATCTTTTCCGCGAGTGATCTTGTAAACTACACATCCGACTTAGGTGAAACCTTTTTAGGGTAAGTAGGCATGTTATGTAGATTTGCGGAATCAAGGTCATTTTGCGCGCACGTGCTTGCAAGAGCGCGCACGTGCAAAACTTATAATGACCAATATATAATGGATATAACCGTAACTTTTCTATTTTGTGACGAAATGTTTTGAAACTTATAATGTAAGGATATATTAGTAGTGTGCACAAGATGACATGGTCAAAATAACAAGATCGCACGCGCATGCACGTGCACTTCGCTTTGATTGGCTGAAACTAAAGTCTCAATATCTTTTTTGTTTTTTGATAAAATCATTTGAAATTTTGAACATAGTCATACATTAGGGAGATCTACAGCCTGTAATATAAGATTTATCATGAAAAGCATGTGCATGCACATGTGCTTGCAAGAGCTCGCACGTGCAACACGAGAAATGTCCAATATAATTGATACAGACGTAACTATTTAAATTATTGATGAAATGCTTTGAAATTCATATTATAAGTATATATAAGAAGGATAGACAAAATGACATGGTCAAAAAAGTAAGATCTCACGCGCATGCACGTGCGCTTCGCTCTGATTGGCTGAAACTAAAGTCTCAATATCTTTCTTGTTTCTTGTCATAATCCTTTGAAATTTTGAACATAGACCTACATTATGAAGATCTACAGCGTGATATATAAGAATTTTCATGAAAGCATGCGCATGCCCGCGTGCTGCAATCTGATTGGCTGAAACTTTAAATGGCTATATCTCCTTTGTTTTTTGACGAAATGCTTTGAAATTTAAAACATAGTCATGCATTAGGATATACTACAATATGATGTAGAAAAAAAATCATGAAATCACGCGCATGCACTTGTGCTGCAATCTGATTGGTTGAAACTTGAAATGGCTATAACTCCCTTGTTTTTCAACCAAACAGGATGGAATTTAGAATATAGATAGATATAAGGGACTCCTACAAGAAGGTATGGTCATCATGCACGTGCGCGCACGCGCGTGCATTTGGAACGAGTGAAATGAAAAATACGTTTGAAAGAGTGATTTTTCATACTTTTGGACTGAATGCTTTAATATATTGTATATTCAGATATGTAGATAGTGTAGACAAGATGATATAATCATAACGCACATGCATTTACATGCGCACGGGTGCAATGCTAAAATTTGAATATAATTGGTATCCTTCTGAGAAAACGTTGTTAAAGTCAAAAATGCACAGAGTTTGTCTTATATAATGAAGCTTACAGGGAATATGGCACCAAAAAGGGAGTTGGGGAGCGTTTGGGGAACATCTGTAACGGTTCCCGTTACAATTAGCACTAGTTTAATAACATTTTAAGGTTCGTTTAACTTCGAACATTATTAATATTAGTATATATAGGTAGTGTTATAATACACTTGTGTTTAACACACTTGCATACATGACCCCAGAAACTATTAACAAGAGGCCCATGGGCAACATCGCTCACCTGAGAAGCTTTGGCCATGCTGTTCTGTACCAGATTTCCCCCTTGTACCCCACTGATCATAATTTAGACAATTTGAGATCTACACATTCCCAGGAAGCTTCCACATAATTTTCAGCTTTTCCTGCCAATTGATTCTAGAAGAAGATTTTCAAAGATTTTTCCTATATATTTCTCAGTAACTCTTTAATTCCCCACTGTGGCCCCGCCCTATCCCCGGGAGTCATGATTTGAACAATTTAGAATCTACACTACCCAAGGATATTTCCAAATAAGTTTCAGCTTTTCTGGTCCAGTGGTTCTTGAGAAGAAGATTTTCAAAGATTTTTCCTATATATTTCTATGTAAATATTTGGTTCCCCATTGTGGCCCCGTTATTAGCCCCGGGGGTCATGATTTGAACAATTTAGAATCTACACTACCTCGGGATACTTCCAAATAAGTTTCAGCTTTTCTGGCCCAGTAGTTCTTGAGAAGAAGATTTTTAAAGATTTTTCCTATATATTTCTACGTAAAACTATGATTCCCAATTGTGGTCCCGCCCTATCCCCCAGGGGTCCTGATTTGAACAATTGAGAATCTACACTACCCCAGGATGCTTCCACATAACTTTCAGCTTTTCTGGCCCAGTGGTTCTTAAGAAGATTATTCAAAGATTTTTCCTATATATTTCTATGTAAAACTTTGATTCCATTGTGGCCCCGTCCTACCGCCAGGGGTCATAATTTCAATAATTTAGAATCAACATTACCCCAGGATGCTTCCACATAAGTTTCAGCTTTTCCGGCCTATTGGTTCTTGAGAAGAAGATTGATTGAAGATTTTTCCTATATATTTCCATGTAAACTTTTGATTCCCTCTTATGGTCCCGTCTTACACCCTGGGGTCATGATTTGCAAAATTTAAAATCTACACTACCTCACGATGCTTTCACAGAAGTTTCAGCTTTTCTGGCCCAGTGGTTCCTGAGGAGAAGATTTTTTAATGACCCTACCCTATTTTTGTCTTTTCTTGATTATCTCCCCTTGTGAGAGGATTTGGCCCTTCATTTAAACAATTTAAATTTCCCTTTACCCAAGGATGCTTTGTATTAAGTTTGGTCAAAATTGGCCCAGTGGTTCTTGAGAAGAAGTCGAAAATGTGAAAAGTTTACAGACAGACGGACAGACAGACAGATAGACAGACGGACGCCGGACAAAATGTGATCAGAAAAGCTCACTTGAGCTTTCAGCTCAGGTGAGCTAAAAATGACATAATGATATAGCATTTGAATTTTAATCGTATAATTATGTCCCTACCGTTTCCTTCCTGATAAAATTCCTCTATTCGAAGTTTCACATCCTCATTTACATCCATGTCTCTTTTTAGGTTGAATTGAACGGAATAAGATCTGAGTGCAGTGTTATTCTGGTTCTGACAGTTTTGGATGCTAATTTCAATGTTGCACCAATTCTCACACACAGTCTCCTTAATTTGGCCACATTTTATATTTTTATAGTTAATCGTTACGTTTGCTCTCAATGATTTCGGCAAAATCAGATCTACAACGTAATTATATAAATTATACAATAACAATAATAGAAGGTACCAATCTAATTAAAATTAAATGTTAGTTTCTATCTGGATTTACCATCTAAGGATCACTTCATTATAAATAGGGATCTGACCTGTAGGACCGGACTTGTCGATTTCCGTTCCGATTTATGGCATTAATTTGAATGCATATAAGAATTTTTTTCCCTTAATCTTTATTTCTGTAAGTAGAGGTAGGAGGAACCCTTTCATTGATTTTCTGAGTTTGTTATCTCCAAATGAAATAGACGTCTCCACATGAGTGAAAAATTCTCGAGAAGGACGTCAAACAATATACAATCAATCAATCCAAATGTAATTATTGATATTTATGTTCCCCAAACGAAGTTGGGGAACATATTGTTTTTACTCTGTTTCTTATTAAGGTCTTCCGTTTCCAACGGAAGACCTTATTGTTTTCGTTCGGTTTCTTTTTCCCTATTATTATTTTTTTTCTTACCGATTTTTGTGCACGCGAGTTCTCGGAAACGGCTCGGTCGATTTTCACGAAACTTTCAGATCTGATAGATATTGATCTGAACCTTATTGGAAATTTTTTATAAGTACGTCGTCACTTCCGGTCGTGAGATATGAACGATTTACTGATTTTAAGAGGGTCGGCTTGTCCAGATAACTCCTCCTAAACGACTTAAGATATTGAGTCAAGATTATCAGTGAAAGTAAAGGAAGGTTTGTTGAGTTGTATACGGGTCTCCAAATTTTTCTGGCGCAAAAGGTACCGGAGCTCGGTCGGGCCAAAAAAATGTCTCAGAAACATCTCACAAAATTTGACACCTTTTGTTTCATATCGTCTTACCTGTTCACAATTTGTTAAAACATATTGAAGAGAAGTTAAGCAGAATGTTAAGAGCTTTCATATTATACCAAGAAAAGGGGGCTGATTCCTCAAATTAGGGTCTCAGAAGGGCCAAAAGTCCTTTATTGATATCTTTTTAATGAACAATATTTTGTTATAAATTACTGAAGCAAAAATGTTTATCTTTACGATCTGCAACAATATATTGAACAATTGTGATCATAGTTACGTAATTAGGGGTCATAAGAAGAAAAAATGCTAAATCTTTGATTCTTTATATCTCCAAAGGGAGAAATATTTTGATAAGCAGTATTGAATAAAAGATGTTCAGAATCGTATTCTAAAAAATATACAACCATTTAATTTTCGAAAAAAGGCCCCATTAAGGGCTGACCCCTAAAAGTTTTTATTCTGCACAGCTCAAAAACGAGAAGAAATTCTGAAAAGGTGTTTAAACAAAAAGTCTTTAAAATCCAGAGCCTCATCATTTCATATGAAGAAAAAGGGGCTGACCCTTCAAATAAAGGGCCTAGAGGGGCCAACAGACTTTCATCTGTAGACGTCTGATGATATATAAATCAAACAAAATAAATCAAATTAGGGAGTCTTGATATCATCATGTATTAACAAAGATCATAGTGAAAATATATCATCTATTCGAAAACTCGGACGGAAGACCTACTCGTTGCTTGCAACGAGATCGTTTCTAGTTATTATTAAGGTCTTTCGTCTTCACGGAAGACCTTATAGTGATTCTACTGTTTCTTATTAAGGTCTTCCGTCTTCACGGAAGACCTTCTAGTGATTCTACTGTTTCTTATTATTAAGGTCTTCCGTCTCCACGGAAGACCTTATAGTGATTCTATTGTTTCTTATTAAGGTCTTCCGTCTTCACGGAAGACCTTATAGTGATTCTACTGTTTCTTATTATTATTAAGGTCTTCCGTCTCCAACGGAAGACCCTATTGTTTTCGTTCGGTTTCTTTTTCTCTATTATTATTATTATTATTATTCTTTTTTTTTCTTACCGATTTTGTGCACGCGAGTTCTGCGGAAACGGCTTGGTCGATTTTCACGAAACTTTCAGATCTGATAGATATTGGCCTGAACCTTATTGGAAATTTTTTATATGTACGTCGTCACTTCCGGTCGTGAGATATGGATGAATTACTGATTTTCAGAGGGTCAGCTTGTCCTGGCAATCACTAAAAAACGAATGAAGAT